TCCCTCGGCTCTGTTTCCTCTTCTCCCCCCTCTAATCCAGTCCTTATTGCCTGGCCTACTGTAAGAGTCTCCCAATTGGTCCTCCCCACTGTAATGCACGATGCAGTGGTCACCATTGTGAACTCTGATGCCAGCCTGCCTGGTTAGAATCCCATTTCTATCACTTACTAGCTGTGTGATCTTGAGTAAGTTACTTAACTTCCCTATATCTCAGTAAAATGGGATAATAATAGTAACTTCTCTTAAGGGTTGTTGTGAGGTTTAAATGAGTTCATATATGTCAAAATCCTTAGTACAGTGCTTAGTACATGTTAAGTGCAATAAAAGCTTGTTTTATTATTATCTATTTATTTTATAAATATTTTAGAATGTCTTCTGTGTGCCAGGCACTTTGCTAGGTACTAAGAGACATAACGATGAAAAACAAATGAGTTTTTCCCCCAGGAACTTCGCAGTCAAGGGGGAAGCCTTTTCATAAAGGTCCCATGGAATGAGTGTTTCCTGCTGCTTGATTCATGCCCAACTCTCCCCCATCTTAAAACAAAGCAAAAGCAAAAGCAAACAAACCCTGGACTCCACATTTCCCTGCAGCTATTGTCCTAGCTTACTTTCCCATCACAGACAAGCTTCTCAGATGAATTTGTTCTGCCAGCAAGTATGTACTGCAGACCTATTACATGCCAGGCACTGTTCTCGGAATGAGCAGAAGAGACAAATCTCTGTCCTCAATGAGTTTGCCTTCTTCTCAGGGGGAACACGCACAATAAAACATATTGCAACATTTATAACATATTGTCAACTATATTCATAGATGCTGTGAAATAAGATAAAGTGAGGTGGAGACACAGAGTGAGTGGGGGATTCGTGGCTATTTCAGACAGGCATCAGGAGAGTCCTCTTTGAGGATGTGACATTTGAGCAAAGACCCAAATGGAGACAGGGAATCTGAAATCTGAGGTAAAACAATTCCAGGCAAAAGGAACAGCAAACACAAAGCACTGAGTCAGGAACATGCATGAAATACTGAAGGAATGTCAAGGAGGCTCTTGTGGCTGAGTGAGCAAGGCAGAAAGTGGTTGGGGATGAAGCTGGAGAGATGGGTAGGCCCCAGAGTTTAGGGTGACTGCACCTCTCATGTGCCCTAGACGGCCTCAGAATAATTATTAGTATTGTCTCTTCTCACTATCAAAGGATCCCAGGTTTAGATAACAAATTATATAGTCAGTCTGCATATAGGCCATGGTAAGCAGCTGACATTTTATTTCAAATGGTATGCAAATCGTGTGGACAGTTTTGAGTAGGAAGTGACATGATCTGACTGGCATTTTAAAGGATCATGACCAAGTCCTTGAAACACTCTTTCAGCTCCTGCCACACCCCCTCTTGGCTCTCCTCCACCTCCCTGACTGTTCCGCTTCGGTCTTCCCTGACGGCTCTTTTTCTTTTACTCAACCTTTAAATCTTGGAGTTTCTCTTGACTAGTGGTTCTCAACTGGGGTGAGCTCTCCCCCAAGAGACATTTGGTATTATCTGGAGATATATATATATGTATTTTTGAGTCAGAGTCTCATTCTGTTGCCCAGTCTGGAGTACAGTGGTACGCTCATGGCCCCTGCAACCTCGACCTTCCAGGCTCAGGTGATCCTTCCACCTCAGCTTTCCAAGCAGCTGGAACCACAGGCATGGGCCACGATGCCTGGCTAGTTTTTTAGGAACTTCGATTTATTTTGATTTATTGTAGAGATGAGGTCTCGCCATGTTGCTCAGGTCGGTCTCGAACCCGTGGGCTCAGGCAATCCTCTTGCCTCCAACTAGCAAAGTGCTGGGATTACAGGTTTGAGCCACGGCACCTGGCTATCTGGAAATATTTTTGATGGTCACGACTGGACTGGCATCTATGGGTAGAGGCCAGGGATGCTGCTAACTACCTATGATCTACAGAAGAATCCCACACAATAAAGAATTTTCTGGTCCAAATGTCCATAGTATCAAGGTTAAGAAATCCTGCACCTGATGAGCACTAACCAGTAGAAATATCATGGGAGCCGCATATGCAGTTAAAAATGTTCTAGTAGGCCAGGCTCGGTGGCTCAGCCTGTTATCCCGTGCCTTGGGAGGCCGAGGTGAGTGAATTGCCTGAACCCGTGGGTTCGAGATCCGCCTGAGCAACTTGGCGAGACCTCATTTTTACAATAAATCAAAAAAATTAGCCGGGCATGGTAGCGCGCGCCTGTAGTTCCAGCTACTTGGAAGGCTGAGGCGGAAGGATCACCGGAGCCCAGCAGATCGAGGCTGCAGTGGCCGGGAGAGGCCACTGCACTCCAGTCTGGATGACAGAGTGAGACTCCAACTTAAAAAAATAAATAAATAAACATTATTTAAAAAAAAAAAATGTTCTAGTAGCCACATTCAAAACAAAAAATAAAAAGAAAACTAGTGAAGTTAATTTTACTAGTATATTTTATTTAATCCAATATGTATAAAATATTATCATTTCAATGTGTAATCATTATGAAAATACCAATGAGATAGTTTACTTTTAAAAATTCTGTTGTATATTTCACACTTACTGCACACAGCAATTCAGACTGGTCATATTTCAAGTGTTAATAGTCATATGGGACTCCTGCAATTGTATTGATGGCACAACTCTAGGCTCAGTACTAAATAATATAGCCCAATGTATAAGGTAATAAAGCCTAGGGTTTGGCTCTGAAACTAAACTGTCTTATTGAATTCCAGTCCTTCCATCTACTACCTGTTGACCTTGGGTTTACTCTACCTCTCTGTGCCTTTGTTTCTCATTTGCAAAGTGAGGATGATAATTTACTACTTTTTTCTTTTGAGTAGGGGTCTCATTCTGTCGCCCAGGCTAGAGTACAGTGGCGCAATCATGGCTCATCACAGCCTCAACCTCCCGGGCTCAGGCAATCTTTCTGACTCAGCCTCCCTAGTAACTGGGACTACAGGTGCACACCTCCATACCCAGCTAATTTTTAAAGTTTTTTGTAGAGACAAGGTCTTTCTACATTGCCTAGGCTAGTCTCAAACTTCTAGGTTCAAGCAATCCTCCTGCCTTGGCTTCCCAAAATGCTAGGAATACAGGTGTGAGCCACCGTGCCCAGCCAATATTACTACTTTGTAGGGTTATGAAGGATTAAATGAGTTAATGCCTACAAAACATTTAGAACAGTTTCAGGTATTACAATAAGTGCTCACCAAATTTTAACTATTTAGTTAGGCTCCTCCTGTGTCTCCACCCACACTTTCTGAGTGATCCCATCTGCTCCCATAGCTTTAAATGCTATCTATTACTTAATGACTTCCAAATTAAAAAACCCAGCTTAGACCTCTTTTCTGAACTCCACATCCCCTATTTAACTGTGCACTCTATTTTGATGACCCAAGACACCTCACATGAAATGTTCACCATGGAGCCCTTGACCTTCCCCTGCACATCTGTTCCTCTCCCAATTCTTGCTGTCTGAGTCAATTACACAGGGTAGATATCTGGGAGATTTCCTTGCTTTCTGCTCTTTCAGGGAATGCATAGTGCATTGATTGTGCAAATTCTATGTTGGTTGAGGTTCCAGTGCACTGACATGTGCCCACAGAAGTGATGTGAGTGCTGAGGGTATCTGGAGTCTGTAGTCGTGGGTGGGGTGACCACCAGGGCTTTCTGGTACTGACTGCTCACAGCTGTTGTGCATATCAGTGTGTTCCAGCAAGTCTCTCTGTATGTGCTTGCATACTGTGTCTACAGACGTGTAATAAAGGGGGCCACAGGAATGTTTTTCCCACCAAATAATCAAGTGTCCCCAAGCCAGTCTTGCCATGGAGATGAAAATGCAGTTATTCTCAGATGACCAACCCATTCTTGCATTTGAAAGGATGGCTTCCCTCTGGGCCTGTCCTGCTGGGCAGGTAAAAAGGAAAATATTTCTCTGGTGTCTGGCCCATGGCACCAAGACCTCCTTCACCTCCTTCTCCTTGTCCAAGAACTCCACCTCTAGGATGCTTCCTATTCAGGTTCCTTTGGAGCCTGAGCGCTTCTCTGATGTAATGGCCCATAAGGATGGCAGGTAAATCTCTGATAATTTTCCCTGAGTCCCCTTCCCTAGGGGGCAGGGCAGCTGGAGCCCTCACTGTCAAGTTTGGTCTGTTGTCAGAAAGAGGGTCTCCAGGAAGAGAAGATGGAAGGGTGTCTTCCCTTTTCTGTCCCTTCCCCAACTTTGAGGTCCTGCCATGGATTCTGGAAGGAGCTTTTCCCTGCCCTCTTGGTCACCTAGGATAGCTTGACCTCTGGTGAACTGAGAACTGACTCCCAAGGACACCCTACCATTGCCACCAAGTAAGGCCTTCAGGGATCTCAGCCAGAATCCAACCGTATGGTTGAGGCCACAACTTCAGGTATCTTTTTTGGGAGTGGCCGCAGCCCCCTCCCCCTTCCTTTCCTCCACATGCTACTTGTTTTGGGCCTCCATGGAAGGAAATGCCGGGAAATTCTTGTCAAGGATCAGGCCACAGCTACCCAAACCAACCCCATCAAACCTGAGGTGTCTGCTGCCTCCAGAACTCCAAGAGGCAGGAACGCGCGCGGGGTTGGCCCTCGCAGAAGCTGGGGCATCGGAGCGGCGCCTCCACAGGCCAGCAGCGCCCATGGCGAACCAGGGACAGACGGGGACCCCTGGTTTCCCCGC